TTCATTTGGTTGTTTGCTTTAAGCAGGGTCTTACTATGTAGTCCCAGAATTCATGATGCCTCCAACTCCCAGAGATTTCACCTGCCTCCAAAGTGCTAGGATTAAAGGTGTGGGCTATCATGCCCAGCTGGCAGGCTTTATTTTTAAGTGTAGCAAAGTTCATATAAAATTTTCAATCTTGACCATTTTTAAGTGTACTTAATGTCACAACAGTACCAAGCACACTCATACTGCAGTGAACTATCACCACTACTTATCTCCAGAATTCTTTCCATGTTACAAAACTGAAACTCTGGACCTATTTAATGGTCTACTCTCCATTTCCCCTCTTTCCAGCCCCTATCAATAATCATTTATCTGTCTTTATACAACTGAATATTTTAGGCACCTCACAAATGCAAGCTAACACAGCATGCACACATCTTTTTGTGAAACAGCTTATTTTACTTAGCATAATATGGGGTCCATATATGTTGTAGTGTCGATATTTCCTCTTATTTTATTTTATTGGTCCTTTCGAGACAGCGCCTCCCTATAGTCCCAGCTAGCCTGGCACTCAATATCTAGACCAGGCTGGCCTCAATCTCACAGAGATCTGCCTGCCTCTGCCTCCCGAGTGCTGGAACTAAAGGTGTGTGCCACCATGCCCGGCTTATTCTATTGGTTTTTTGAGAAAGGATCTCATGTAGCCCAAGCTGGCCTTGAACTTACTATGCTGTTAAAGTTGGCCTTCCAAGTGCTGGGACCAGGTGTGCAGCACTATACCCATCTCTTCATTCTACTTAAAGGCTAAATAACAGTCTATCTATATTCAATGCATACAACCCATTTTGTTTCACCATGCATCTGCCAATGGACACTTTGGTTGCTCCCATCTTTTGGTTACTGTGAATAATGCTGTGAACAAGAGTCTCCAAATATCTCCTCAAGATTCTACTTAGTTAGTTAGTTCTTTGGGGGTTTATACTCAGAAAAAGAATTGTTGGAGCGTATGATAATTCTTTTTCTGTTTATTTATTTATTGAGACAAGGTTTCTCTAACTTAACCTTGAGCTCACTCTGTAGCCCGGGCCTCTAATTTACCAGCCTCTTCCTAAGCCTCCTGGACAGCCAGATTGCAGTCCTCTTTCATAGAGTGGTCCTAATTTTAATTTTTTAAGGACCCATCATATTGTTCTTCATAGCTTTCTTATCTATTTTTATAATCTGCCTAAGTAAAACCATCTTAAGCATATTACAGAACAACACGATCTCACTTCCTGATAAACACATACAAAAAAATACTGCACAGTGGATATATTAAAAGGTTAGCTGTTACTCTCTCTAGAGTATACAATTATAAAGCAAATTTTGTTTTTGTCTTCTATTGACTGGATTTCTCCTCTCAATTTTTTTTTTTTTGGTCTTTTTGAGACAGGGTCTCCCTGTAGCCCCATGCCTCCTGAGTGCTGGGATTAAAGGCGTGCGCCACCACACCCAGCTTCTCAAATTTTTATGGTCAAAAGTGTTACATGTATGGGGGCTGGAGAGATGGCTCAGTAGCTAAAAGCATTTGGCTGCTCTTGCAGAGGACCTGGGTTTAGTTCCCAGTAGTCACATGGTGGCTAACAACCAGCTATAACTCCAGTTCCAGGGGATCCAATGCCTTTTTCTGGCTTCCGTGGACTCTGCATACAAGTGGTGCACTTAAATACATGCAGGAAAAACACTCATACACATAATAATAAAAATAAGTAAAAAAATATTTTTAAGTATTACATGTAGAATATAAAAATAAAAAGTAGAGCCAGGCATGGTGGTGCCTTTAATCCAAGCACTTGGGAGGCAGAGGCAGGTAAATCTCTGTGAGAGTGAGGCCAGCTTGGTCTATAGAGTAAGTTACAGGCCAGCTGAGGCTACCTTTAAAAAAATTTTTTTTAAAGTATACACATAATTTTTCAAAGGTTAAGAAAATAAACAATAAAATAACCACAAGGCAAACACCTTGGGTGCTAACTGGGCAAAGCTGTCTCTGGGTGGAGGGGACAAGGACTCCTGTCCATTTGTTTGGGAATGCAGTGTATACAGTACAATTAAGACAAAGGAGTTGGAAGGCTGAGCTTTTACCCACAAGAAGCAAGAAGGCTGAAAGGGGTGTGTGGCTGGATGGGGTGGACTGCCCACTCACTTCAGTGGGGGAATGGAAGAGCTATGCACAGGGAGTAAGTGGATCTACGGGTGGGGGATATCCTGGAGGAGGGGGGAGTTCTGCACTGGCTCACGTCTATCTGTGGTTCCTATCACTGACCCAGGGCTGCCAGAGCACCAGGCTCCAAGCTGTAAAGAAGAGCCTCCTGCTCAAGTTTCCTCCTTGCCATCTGGTCAGTAGTCAGGGTGCAGCTTACCAAGGAAACCGGCAGTGGGGTGGGTAGGGAAGGAGGGAAGGCTGCTCAAAGCCTAGGGAGGAAGGCAGACAGTGGTGGCTGGTTTTGCCAGCCTGGCTCTGCCACTGAACTACTGGAGAAAAGAGACTGAAACTGGAAAGGAGCTATGGGGTCATGCCTGGTCCTTCAGGGGACAGGTAATACCACATCCTGCCTTTCCTGAGGTTGAACCAGTGGGTCCCAAACCCTCAAGCAGAATTTTGCTGTGTTTAACAGCACTGTCACTCAACCCTCTCAGCCACAGAGGACTGTGAAGGAACAGCCCCAAAGAACACTGCTGTCCCCACACTGTACATGTGGCAATTGAGACACAAGGCCACCCAGGGGGGACCAAACTCCAGGACTCAGCTTCATAGTGACTTTACACACATATTCCAACCACTCTGTAGAAAAGACACCAGGTCTGGCCCCTTGCCTCTCTGGTGAGTGCTAATAAACTGGCTGGGCCTGAACCGCCCAGTGGGAAAAAAAAAAAAAAAAGGCAGGGATTCAGAAAGGGTGCCTAGCTGCCTGGGTGCAGGCAGTTCCTCCACCCATTTGGGGACCTGATACCTGTTCTTTTCTCATAACATCTTTCTGGTATAGAGCTAAAAAGGCTGGGGTGCTGAAGGACACAGAGTTTGGCAGGCTAGGGCTATGGGGACCCAGGAACCTCTCCCCAAATATTCCTACCTACCTAGAGGCCCTCATTTGCCAATGAGCCAGGCCTGTGAGGCAGGGTGTGATGAAGCACGCCTTCAATCCCAACACTCAATCCCAACACTCAGGTTGCAGAGCAGGAGGATCTCTATGAGATTGAGGCCAGCCTGGTCTACACAGTCAGTTCTAGGCCAGCTGGGGCTACAGGGAGACCTTGTCTTGAAAAAACCAAACCAAACCAAAGACCTGTTGGACCATCTTCAACTCCTGGCTTGGCCTTGAGATGGTCTTCCCCCAAGGGCAACCTTGCTGATCAGTATCAGAGGGTCAGGGGGATGCAAGCCTGTGTCCTTGTCCCTATTATTCCCTAGCCTGGAACATCTTCCTGTGGTTGGTCCTGTCACCCTTTACCACACATTCTTCAGGCACTAACTGGTAGCTAACAGGCACCATACCAGGTGCCAGGTATGGCTAGGGTTACCTGAGCTCACCAACCTACAGGGCCCCAGCTGGCTATTAAGAGCACTGTAGGAGTTCTGGGTAGCAAGGACATGAGCCAGAATGGAAAATGTAAGCCTCAGCGGGCAAGCAACCTGGGCTTGGCATCTACAAAGTAGGGGCTCAGGAGGTTGGGAGTACTCTGCAATAGAGGGCAAATGTGGCAGAACAGAAAAAAAGGTTTGTGTCAAGAACTCTGGAAGGTCAGAGGCACCACTAGACCTTGGGGGACACATCACTCAGACTCAGCCACTCCCAGTGGTCAGACAGGATTCATTCCCTTTGGCAGTAGTACCAGAACCCTACTTCCCAGAGTGAGGCTTCAGGGGTCACACCTTGCTGAGGCCATAGAACCCCTGAGCTGTCGACATGGGAGCATAGCCCAGGTCTGGTGAGAATAGCTTTGGGAGCTCTGTGAGAATGAGGTGTCCTCTGGCCAACCAAGGACAAGGTAAAATGGCAGGCTGGACAGAGGAACACTATCCACACAGAGTGGTCACAACAGTGACAGAGCACAGCTCCTTGGGAGGTTGCACCAAGCTCTAACCCCAGCTTGTGCATCGATCTCTGGGGAAACTGATCCTGAGACTTTGCTGGCTTTTAGTGACATCTGATAGCTGGGCAGAGGGGCCCAGCAAGGGCCGCAGGGTAGGTTTCCTGGCATTCTATGATGCCTCCTCACTAGTCTGAGACAGCCAACACTGTCATCTCCCTTATCCAGGGCACCCCCGCACACACCTTCCCCATTCCCCCCCCACCCCACCCTCCGCCAAACTACAAGGACAGGGACTATCCTGAGAAGGATGAAGACCCCTGATAAACAGCTCAGGGGTGTTGACATTCCAGGAGTGACAGAACATCAGGGCCAGAGGGCCTTTAGATATCTCTAGTCTGTAGCAGCAGGCCCTGAAAGAGTGTAACAGCTAGGTACCTAGAGTCAGAAGCCAGGTCTCCAGACCCTGGCTATTGTGATTTGGGCCAAGTTGTAATACACCATCTGTAAAGGAGGCCAGCAGGATTCTCCTATTACAAGGACACATGAGGATTGAATGATATAATGCTTCAAATCCTTTATCTCAGAGTCCAGCATGCCCATTCCCTAGAAGGGAATCAGAGGGAAGATCAGGGCCTGGGGAACAGTGAGACATTCTTTTGTCTAGACTGCAGACCTGACGTGCAGTTGAGGATTGATCACAGGTCTCATACCCTTCCTCAGCTTAAGTTCAGCTAGCTCACATGGGGTCCCCAGCCCCACCCCTACCACAGCCCTAGTCCTAGAGAGGTAGACAAGAAGTCACACTTCCTTGGTGTGGTGGCACACACCTTAAACCACAGCACTTGGGAGGTAGAGACAGGTGGATCTTTGTGAGTTTGAGGCCAGACTGGTTTATACAGCAAGTGGTCTCAAAAATAAATAATAAAAAAAGAAGCCACACTTACTTGAGGATGTCCTTCTTATTGAAGAAGGTGCAGTCCTGTGGAGGGAAAGCATAGACAAAGTGGGCTAAGCATCACGGACTCCTGCCTTCCTCAGAACCCAACAGCCCTGGACCTGAGGCAGAAAAGTCCTGACTGCTTGTCCCCGTTCCTCCCACAGGGAACAGTGGATTCTAATGGGTCCAGGAAATGCCTCCAAAAACTTTTGACCCCCCTGAGCTGGGTCCGGGGTACCAACACATAGGTAGAGTGGGGCTGGGGTGGTATTTTGGCGGGTACACAGTGAGGAGAACAATGGAGAGTCACAAGTTGAAGCAGTTTTGAATGCCAGTGGGATATACTATAAAGAATCAGGGAGGTGGTTAAAAGAAAATTCCAGAGACCACTCAGAAGAAAACAAACAAGATGCCTTGGCACATCACAGAATGCCCTTAGAATAAGGCCTTGTCGGGGAGCAGGGAGGGCCTGAGGTATGGGGAGGAGACTGAGGAGGAAGTGAGTGGACAGGTAGCATCTGGGAATTTAGGACTCTGCCTGGATGAGCCACTCTGTTCATAACCTGGGGTCTTTGATGATGGTCACTGAGAAGCAAAGAAGTGAAAATGACCCAGCAGAGCCTTACCTATGCAGGGCTTTTCTGTTTATCTCCTGCTGTCTGGCTCCTCTGCCTTTGCCTACTGTTTCAGAATGAAGGAAGAAGGCCTCAGACTCTGCAGAGCCCTGAGTTCACAGGGCCTCCTGGGGCTATATGCTAAACAGAGCTGCTCTGCTGAGGGGCCGAATGGCTGCAGCCCAGGCATACAGAAAGGCAGGCTAGCATTGGAAGACCTGAAGCTGCTAGACCCCAGGCTGACTGGATTGCACATTGAGATGGGCCAAAAAGGATGCCCATAGGATGGGCATGATGTTAGGGTTTTACTGGCTGCTTCTGTATTGGCGAAGAGAGGAAGCTGGGAGGAATTTTCTAGGTCCCATGCAACCCAACCAAAGAGTCCGTCTATCTGAGCCACCTGCTGTCCACTGGGACAAGGACTCCATGCTTCCATGAAATGCAGGGGCATCTCCTGGAGGGCTCAACTTTGCTTTTTGCAATGGCTTCTCTGAAGAAGTCAGGGAAAGCTCAGGCTGGGAAGCAGCAGCCCCACCCGGGTTGGGGCAGACAGAAAATCCCCTACTGGCCTGCCTAATACTCAGGCAGGTTGGGGACAGGGGGCTGATTTCTCAGTTGTTCGTAGACACCAGAGCAGGCAGCTAAGGCAGCCTGGCTGAGCCTTCCAGAAGAGACTTCCCTATTCACAGGACTGGCTCTGCCATCTGAAGGGGCCCAGTGGAAGCATCAGGGTTCTGCTAACTAACCTGGAAGGGCTATTGCAGAACTGAAATGGGGAGTGGGGAGGTGTCCTAGCTTCAGCCTCTTTCTGCTCCTCCTGCACACAGGCTGAGTCAGAAAGGAAATACACAGGCCCTGGTTCAAGAGTTCTGCTAGCAAAAGACATGAAAGTTTCTCATATAATCCTGGTTCCCTTATCATAATTAGGTCTATCTTTATGGCAATAGTCGTTAAGGAATGTGCCTGGGCCAGCAGTGACAGCCTCCTGGGAATGTAGTAGAAATGTAGACGCCTAGGCCAGACTCCTGAGTAAGAAACTACTTTTTTTTTTTTTTTTTTTGGTCCTTTTTTTTGAGACAGGGTCTCCCTGTATCCCCAGCTGTCCTGGAACTCACAGAGATCCGCCTGCCTCTGCCTCCCAAGTGCTGGGATTAAAGGCGTGTGCCACCACGCCTGGCCCCAAGAAACTGCATTTTAAAAGTCCTCCCAGTGGTGCTGATTCACATCTGCTCTGAGGAGAATCACCTAGGTTGCAGTTTAAAATACCTTGTCCCCTGCCACCTCTCAGACCAATGAAATAGGAAGTCCTGGGGCAGGGGATCTTTCTAGTCATTAGTGGCCTTCAAAGCCATTCAGTCTTTCCAAGCCAGATTTGGTGGTGCAGGCCAGTAATCCCAGATACTTAGAAGGCTGAAACCAGAGGATTACAAATTTAAGACCTGCATGAGCTACAGAGTAAGTTCAAGGCTGACCTGAAGCAATTCAGTAAGACCCTATATAAAAATTTAAAAAGTTGAAAGAGGACTAGAGATGGGGTATAGTCCAATGGTAGATCCCTAGCATGCATAAAGCCTTAGGTTCAACCCCCACCCCCAACCCCCCAAAAAGTCAATCAATGACTCCAAAGTCTGAGAACCATCTCACAGCCAGTGCACAATTACCATGTGCCTTATATGGGGGGACCCTAAATAACCCCTTTCATTTAATCTTTAGCACTAGCCTGGAGGGAGGGCAGTCATTACCTCCCTATTTTACAGGTGTGAAAACTGAGTCTCAGAGGGCCTGCCTTAGAGAATTAGGGGCTCAGCATTCTGGTAGCAGCAGACAGTCCAGGCTGGGCTTTTCTGGTAGAAACCTGAAGTCATTTCCAGTAAGACTTGGCTCTGCCTCCAAGTCATGTGCAGCTATTTCCCCACCTGAGTGTTCTCCCCTATTCTAACATGTCAATTTCTTTCTTCTTCAAAGCTAACTCAAGGACTCTGTGTGGCATCTGCATCCTATCTGCCTGGCTTTGGCTTGCCTGTGGTAGTGGTTAGGCGCTGAGCCACCACCTGCCCCACCAACCACCACATGGCTGGAGGTCAGGCTCCAAAGTGACCTCAGTTGATTTAAACAATAGCCCTGTGATATAAGTATCACTGGATTAGTAGGAATACCCATTTTAGAGGTGGGAGCATAGGCCAGCAAAGCACGTCAACTTAATACTCACAGCATCAACTGCCCAGCTACAACTTGAACCCAAGACGTCACAGTCCCTATGTAGAGTTCTTTGTCCTCTCAGAGCTCTACATTATGTTTGTGTTCCTTCATCCATTCATTCATCAAGAGTCTCTTCTGGGCCTAGATAAGGCCTCACAGGAGAGACAGAAAGTGCAGACAGAAACACAACCCAGTAGGAACCATTCAGTGTTGAGAGAGGAAAGCATGGAAAGGTATATATGTCATAGGCCTACTGACAATGGACCAGGGTGAGGTCAGGGAACCCGTCCTAAAGAGGTGAGGCTGAGACAGATGGGAAAACTGGGTTGGTGAAGAACTGAGGTAATGGCACCAAGGAGAACAAGCCAGAGGTGAAGGATGCTTGCCTGGAAGCTGAGCAGGATTCCCTGAGTAAGAAATGAAGTTGAAGACCAGGCTGAGATGAGCCCGGCTCTGAACTCTGTTAAGACTGTCATCCCAAGACACTGGCATTACCTGAAGAGGTCTGTATTTGTGTTTTAGAAAGCTCCCTGCTAGAGCTGGGCATTATGTTTGTTTGTTCATTCATCCAGGTCCTAGTGATGGCTCCCTAGGGTCTGCTGCAGCAATAGGGGCCTGGCTAGGACTGTGGATTATTTTCATAGAAAAAATTTGTCTTACATTAGTGAGGCATATTATGTATCTTAAAAGGAAAAGGAAAAAAGGAGGGACGAGGAACAGGGCAGCAGGGGGGGGATAGAAGGGGAGAAAGAAAAAGCAGAATCCAGGGATTGTGGCTGGAAAGGAGGCAGGAGACTGTGGAGGGCTGTGGTGGGCTGGCCAGGGCCATGTTCCTGGGGATGGAGGAAGGGATCTCAGGTGAGATGCAAAGTAGGCTGAGTTACCAGGCTTGTTCTTAACTGAAGGACTGCAGAGAGCTGAAATGATTGGAGGAGTGCAGTTGGTTTGGGGGTAGGAAGTAGGGCCTGTGTGAGGGTGTTGAGGGTCAGGGGAATGGGTTTGCAATGCAGATGGTGGCCTGGGAATTAGTGGCATCTGGGAACCAGGGATGGGGGCACCTTGCTTTGGGAAGGGAGGGCTGTCAGGCTGGGAAGTCCCAGGAAACCCAAAGTTCCTTAGGACAGGGAATGTAACTCAGGTCTTCTCATCCCATCCTGGCTGGCCATGCTAGAGAGCCAGAGGGACTGAGCTTTGAGACTCTCAGGTTTCATGGCTCTCATTTCTCTGGCAGGGTCTAGCTGGGCCCTGGCAAAGGATCAGAACCCAACAAGAGGACTGGATCTCCAACCAGTAACCCAATGCCAGGCTGGTCAAGGGGGACTCGGGCTCCCCACCTTTACCAGGCCATTCTTTCCTTCTGGGCTTGGGTGGCTTGCCTGAGTCCATCTGTACCTGGAATGTCTCCTTCTGGGCCCTGCTGGGCAAAAATCGCCATTCCCCAAGGGCCTGTGCAAACGCTGCACTATTCCTGAACTTTCCAGTCAAAGCAGAAGCTCCCTTCCACCTGACCTCCCCCTGCCCACCCATGCTCTTTTCTAGAACGTCACCTGCCTCCATCACATGGGCCACACTGGAAGCAAGGTCTGTCTTACCGAATTCCAGGTACCTGAGAGGTCCTGTCCACCCTACCCCCAAAGGAAGGGAGCAACCCTTGGAGAGTGGTTGGAAGTCCTGTATAAGCATGTACTGGCCCTGATGGCCCTTAACCTCTGCTCTCCTATGAAATGGGTATTAATCCACCTCTGTGTGATAGGCAAATGAGTTGACTACAATAACTGGTATACAGCAGGAGTTCCATAAATGTGGCTCATTTCTTCCTTCTCAGGGACTCACACAGAGATCTAGGAAATGTTTTTGACAAGGAGGGCTTCCAGGAGGACTGACTTTGTCTACCTTCACTCACAGCACAGGACCCACACTTGGAGCCCCCCTTTCCTTCACACCAATTGAATATCCATGAAGGCTACAGACATCTACAGTGGTCCTCTCTCCTAGGAACAGAGACCACCATCCAGTCCTACCCATTGTCAAAAGGAGGCATCAAGAGTGGGAACTTGAAGGATGGGCGACATTACTCAGAGAGGGACAGGAAAAAGGCATCCCAGACTCAGGACATTGTATATGAACCTAGCCAGTGGGGGAACTGGCTCAACTGTTCACAAGCTGCTGAAGTACAGAGGGTAGGACAGGGACACCTGGGGAGACTGAGGCTACAGAGGTGAGCTAGGCAGCTGGCCAAGACTCTGGGTTAGTGGGGGTGGGAGGGGTGGAGGTATTTCTTCCTGTACCCACAGAAAAGTTTTCACATGGCTGGGGGACACTGGGATTCCCTGATCTGGACAGTTCACTCTGAACTGGGAAGGATGGGGACTGGAGGTTGGCTATTGGTGAGTACAAAGATAACTGATAGAGGTAACTATGTAAGAGTGGTACCTTGCTTACTTCCCTGCTCCAGTTATTTCCATGCTAGGGCCAAGGAGAAATCCCAACAGATAAATAAGACACTCCAACCTATAACCATATTTGGGGGCTCCTGTTCTTACTCCCAGACCTTCCTGAGATGAGGGTCATGCCCAGTGGGCTGGGAGGAGTGGCTAGGGTCCAGCCTGGGCGAGCAATAAGAAAGATAATGGGGGAGACAGGAGGGTAGGGGAGGACAGGCGCATCTGGCAGAATGCTCTCATTTCCCCCGCTGGGGAAACTGAGGCTCTTCGAGAGGAAGACACCCACCCAAGGTCACGCTGCGTACTGAAGGTAGTGGCAGAGCTTGAACCTAGGTGACCCTGTTTTCTCGAGGCCTCGGGAAAAGAGAGAGGAGGAGGGAAGGTTTACCTGGTAGTTATCCAGCTGCTCTTCAGTGAAGATGGTCTGCTTGTTCCCCATGATGGCCACGGCGTCCTCGCTCGCCCTCTTGGGCGCCGCCTCCCACCAGCGGCCGCCGGAGCCCGGAGCCCGGCGCCCGCGGCCCTTGCCAGCCCAGCGGCGGGCACCG